GCAGAAGGGTAGGTACGGGCGGTAGGTAGGAGACATGCACCGTTCACAGTCGTAGTCCTTGCCGTTCCTTTTAGAGCCTTGCCATCGGTGATTGACGCAATCTGAAAGGGGCACACAACCAGATTTACTTGGGTTTTCGTGTCCGCATGGGATGGCTTGGTAGGGAGAGTCGTGTCTGGTGATGTGTGTGCGTACCGGAATGTCTTGTCCAAGCATTCTTTTCCGTTGTAATCCCATCATTGGCGGGAATGCATCTTTCCTCTCCTTTTTTTGGTCATGCCTGTTGCGTCTTACTATGACCGCATTTTTATCATCGCCGCGGTCACTTTTCCTTGGAATCCACCTGACGTCAGTCCGCTTGGCTTTTGGCGGGAATCATGATGTATGGAGCGCAAGCATTCGTCGTTATTGTCGTGTGAGTGGAGCAGTCGCCGCTTGGGTTGGATCGAACTGGAGATGAAGAGTCGCCAGTCGTCTCCGATGGAAGGTGTCTTCTTCTGTCGGCCTTCACGTCGGTCTGCTGCTTGTGTCTGCATCTCAAGTTCTGTTTCCGCGGCGGCGGCTGTGTATTCTCCGTGGAGGTACTGCATGGATTTGCGCAGTTAAGACCCCCAGGCGAGGAGGTTGAATGATGGATGATGACTTGGGTGAGAGGTCCCGTGCCCTCCTCTCTCTCTCTCTCTTCCGTAATTCTGTTCTGTGGACAGCTTGCTTTCACGCCCCGTGTGGGAGGTGGTGTTCTCTCGCTTTCTCTCTGTGCAGGGAGTGAAGACTCCCCAATACCGGAGGGTAAAGCGACACGTTAGAAGCTGTGTGCGTGTGTGTGTGTGTGTGCGTGTGTGTGTGTGTGTGTGCGTGTGTGTGTGTGCTGTGGCTGCGCAGGGGTTGTAGAGGCTTTCTCTTCCAGTCTTCATGATTTGATTGATCGACTAGAATCAGCGTGAATGATGCAGCGATTGGTGAAAACCGACGCCTTGTAAGTTGGAGCGGACCACCGAGACCCTTTTCCCGAACCTTTTCGGTCTTTCTGCTACCTTGTCAGTGCCGATATGTTCTTGTCTGTTTAAGTTGCCTCCCAACTTACCTTCATTTTATGGCAGCGGCTCTGCCAATGTCACTTCATAACTCTGGGCAGAGGGGGAAGGAAGTCCACGGCTACCCTGTCTATCTGCCGCATTGGTGAAGCCACACACACATTCAACCTCCTGATGAGTCGGTGGATGTCGGACGAAAGTCTGGCGCAGTCGGGCTTTCCTGTGAGTTGTGTATAGCGAACATGACAACACACAACACATAGACGCCCGCGTGTGTGCCCCCTGTTTGTGCAATTTGAATGTCATGCAACACACATACAGATACACCCACATGCACACACACACACACACACACACACACAGAGAGAGAGAGAGAGAGAGAGAGAGAGAGAGAGAGAGAGAGAGAGAGAGAGAGAGAGAGAG